CAAACACACACTGTTGAAGAACTGTGCCTTTTTTTTTTTTTTTTTTTTTAAGTATACCTGTAGCTGAAGCAGAATCGCTCATGGTAAACAGTCTGTTACTGACACCAGAAGAAGCTCGTCAGGACCACACTAAGAAAAAAAAGACAAGATTACCAGTAAAAGCTATTACAGAGAAGCAGAAAAAAACTTAATATAAAAGCTAAATTACTCCTGTAATTTAACCTTCCCAACAACACCCTCCTTGTATACACTGGGAACTTATTTTTCAGGAAAAAAAAAAAAAAGCCAAACACATAACTTTTCACCCATCTCAAGAAGTAAGCAAGTTCAGCTGTTGCACTTACTTACATTTATCCCACTACAGTTTACATTTTAAAATTTCAAGAATAATGCTTAAGAATGCTTATGAAAAGAAATGAGCTGGTTGCAGGCCCTGGGTCTGCAACACAGCATTGTTTTCCACATACGAGCAAACAAACAGCCATATAGGTAAAGTCAGCATTTCTGACTGGACACAGGGCAAAACTAATTCAAGACATACTTAAATATACCTATGGCAGTTTAAAAAAACCCCACAAACTGATCCTTGTCCTAACAATTTGATGGTAGGTCCTATGTATTCAGAAAAAAATTGTACTGAAAATTGAAGTATATACTTTGACAATACTGGCAATTTGAAGTTCTAACTACTAACAGAGAGGAGTTTGAGTACAATGGGTTCTCATTTAGAAATCAGCACCTAGCTGCCTGTAAAGCCTGTTTACTCATTAAGACTGCTGTAGTATTCCAGCTGAGCCTCAGCTTCAAAATGCCAATGAGAAACAAGATACCACAACACCTCTGAAAGGCAGTTAAGGTTCCTGAATTTTTCACCATACTCTTCTATAAAAGCATTTTAATTAAAAAGTTGAGACTGAGGGAGTGATTCTGCAAGATGGAATAAACTGATACAAACAACTCCTTACCACTTCGGGAGAAAAGGAGGTTCCTGTTGCCCTTGGTTCAGTATCCTCACCTGCTCATTGGAATGAACTGTTTATCTTGCACCAGCCCAGTGAAAAAGAGTATTTCCATGAGATGAATCAATTCTCCAACCTGCCAGCACTCTATGCTAAGGTACATTAGCTAATCAGCTGAAAGAGTGCCAAAATCCACTGCAAAGAAAGGGGAGCTGAGACCAAGAACGGCAGCAGCAAGCCATCATGCTGGTTTGTACTGGCTGCAAAAGTACTGCTCAGGGTACTGCTAATAAGCAAAAAATTATTACTGATCTTGCATGTTAATTATACTGCAGTGTCAGTGCAAATACCAGGGTATTGCACCAGAAGAGCATATTTTGATTGTAAAATGTGTATCTTTCTATTTAAACCAAAGCAGATATATCTGCAGATGGAGAGTAGTAGAAAATATTAAGAATGATCTTTTATTACACCAGCCCTTCCTTTTACTTACTGGAGGGTAGGAAGAAAAACCACTACTAATGTAACTCCAGCTGTTTTTGTTTTAACTTAGCATTTATTCAACAGAAGAAATCTCTGCATTTTTCGAGATGGCTGTGAGAAAACACAGTGTTTTAACACATCCAACTCTGGCAGCAGCAACTTTTAACACTTTTCTGATTTCATTATAAACCTCAGCCCCAAATACATCTATTATTATTATTTTGAACAATAAGTTAACTTCAAGGATTTAGCCTGTATTCTTACAATTTTATATTTAATTTTATAAACAATTATATTTTAAAAAACCCATAACAGATATTTTCAGAAAAAAAATATTTTCCAACCTCTTCCATGTTTAACAAACACACAAAGAAGCACAATTCAGACAGCTGCAGTGCTCTGTGCTACAACTCTCTGTACAACTGGCGTAAATCCATATAACTGAAACCGTAGCTCATTGCAGCACACAAAGAACTGCTCCAGGATGAAGGACTAAACCAGCTTCAACAGAAAGCAGAAAGATGGTAGCACAAAATTACAACCCTCAATCATGACATGTGCCTGTACTTGCAATGATACATCATTCAATCACTATTCCCTAAGAACGCTACCTAGATTTTGCTTTTATGCTGACAACCATTAACCTGTTAATATAACAGCCAAAACATAATAAAACTCTCTTAAACTCCAAGCTCATTCCCTAGTCAACCGTTCTACTTGATCTAATAAAAGACAAGCAAAGCTTTGGTTTTCTTATACTACATTTCAAATGTATAACTGTCTTCATATCTTCACCCCAACACAAGGAGTATTTTAAAGTGAACATACTTTTAACAATAAAACATCAGATTAAACAAGACGCTGTAGAATAACTGGCTGACATAGGCTTCCTAAGTCTAGAACCCTGATTACAAAATTTAAGTTTATTACAATCTGGAGATTTTGGTAAACTTTTTGTTATCATTTGAATGCTCCATTGAAACACTATTCCAACTTTTACCTTTTGATATAAATACTACAGTATATACCTATCCATACAATTACAGCACATTTATTTACTGTACCATGCCCCTTGGAAGGATGTGGTTGGTATAAGAGAACTGGTAGGAATGCCACTGCTTTTGCAGGTGGCCAACCAAACTATTTCTGAAGTACAAGAATACTATAAAGATGCTTTTCATCATCTCCTTATTCAGCCAGCAAGATAACTGGCAAGCCTTTTCAATCACTGACTGAAAACAAGAACAAACCACATTATAGAAGAATGCAAAGATAAATTGACACCACAGCAGTTCTCTTGCAAGTTGACATACAAAATGCATGTTTTGGATATTCTGGATTAGTGAAAAAGGTTACATGTACTTCTTCAGTATCTTCACAACTCTGTTCATACAGAATCCACGAAGAAATGACAATTCAAGTTCATGAAGTCCGTTTGTTCAATCTCTTTCTTTCACAGTGAGAAATGAAAGAGTTATTATTTAAATACTTTGTAATATCAAGCATTTAATGTGGTGGCAAAGATCTGCTACTGGTAAATGGTTGGCAAGGCCTTGGATGTTGAAAAAGTCCACACAAGAAGGGAGTGTGCCCTAGATAGTATCTTACAAAAATCTTTATACAGAGCCTAGAGAAACCTACCATGCCCCTACTCTGTCTCTGTACACAAGTTTTCCACTAGCTACTTCCTAGTTATTTGCTATTAGGTCCAGCGCAGGAAACTGTCAAAAGAGCAGCCTAATCTGTCTACAAAGCAACCTTGACAAGCACTCCTTTCAGCAGGGATGTGAGTTTACACTGCCGCGGTACCATCACTACTACTTCGGTGTCCACAGCACAGCAGTAGCTACTCAACCCCAGCGAGCCACCTGCACCAATCCCCTGCGAGCCCACACAGGCAAAAAGGAAGATGCAGGCAGGACAAGCAAGCATGCTACCTAACCCTTCCCTGGCAACCACTTCTTCCAGCACAAAGCTACATTCACAGAAAGCAGCACCATCCTTCTGTTTCAATGTCAGAAGGACTGCACCAATCATACAGTAAATATTCCTGTGATATATATCTGTGAGAAATAAGGTAGATGGGATTGTTCGACACCAGACAGCTACCAACCCAAGGCTGCAACACCCTTCTATATTCCTGCACTCATTCTATCATTCCAAACACATTAGTGATCTCTTAACAATAAGACTGCTTTTTCTTAAACCGTAAGACTTTACACTTCTCCTATTTTACAGCAACATTTTTGCCTTTGTTTGGGATTATTGAGCGGTAAGGATTATTAGGGGAAATTTCAAAATCACATATTTGCATTGAAAATAAACTGACCTTACAAAAATAAAGCCTGCCATTTCACTAAGTTGAAACAGAAGGAAACTAGAGGCAACAATCACAAATAAGCAAGCCTCCTTTCCTCCGCTATCAAGACCCCTTCCAAACACTGGCTCAAGCTGCTGATCACCAGCCACCCTAGAAGCACATTGTTTTAGCCCCGATAGCTACTCTCCCAGAGGCTCAAACACTCAGTGGTCTGCTCACAACATAGCCTGCTCTGCTGCCGCTGTTGTCAACTACGGAAACTCCCTCCTACACTGGTAACAAGATACTGTACACTTTCAAGGAATCATGCAACAGTAATTAAAAGGTTAAGAGAAAAACATTATGTACTTTGCATTTATGCTGGATACAGGGGAAGAACATCTTCCTCTTGAAGTTGCAAAATATGCAAAAGCAACCTTGAGCATGTGATTATCAAGAGCTGTCAAATTAGTGTGACAAGTAAAGTTTTTTAATGAACATAAAATGTGCCTTTTCATTCTTAAAATGAGAAATATGTTCACTTCGTATGAGGGATTTAAGCTCATCTGAAAGGACACTTTGAATGTTCTAGAGGCCAAGCAGGCATCATGACACATAAGCAGAGATTCCTCTGAAACTCTGCATCAAGAAGATGACCGCTTTTCTTCATGGTATCATCGCTCATTTACAATTTCCAAATATGGGAGCCCCTGGTGGTGAAGTGGTTAAATCACAGCACTGTGAACGCTGAGACCCAGATTCGAGTCCTGGTCAGGGCCCCTCCCCGGGCAGATGGAGCTCGTTAGCTGCCACCGTCCAAGCTCGCTTGGCCCCGGCAGATGAACCTCAGGATTAAAGGGTGGGCTCAGTTCCGCACACACTGTGTCTCACCTAAAAAATCCAATGCGCAGGCTGGAAGGTGTAAAAACCTTCCCCGGTTCTTCGTTCGCGAAGAGACTGGCCATTACAATTTCCAACAACATTATTTTCTGACAGTATAAATACAAAATTTGATAAGCAATTGAATATGGGAACACATCTGTAAATAAACACCATACAGAACCAAGTCCTCTACAGCGAGAAGGTGCTTGGCTTTAAACTCAAGGGTTTTTTGCTTCAAGTTACAAATGTATCTGTATGATGCCATATTGTGTATAGTTTTGCATCATTACATGCTTTACTATGCACAAGTCATGTTTCAAACATCCAGTAACCCAAATGAAGAACCAGTAAACTGTCTCTCTTGAATTTAGTCAGAAGAAAACTTACATAGCCCTATAATATGAAAGCACCATAACTAGACAATCTGGTTTATAATTTGTTATTATTAATGGTTAAAATTGAGAAAGAAACACCTGAGAAAAACTGAACAACCAATACAGTAACAGCAAACCCAGGAAGGGATATAACAAAAGAAGTAAAAAGTGAGTGTGAAAGGCTATGAAAGAGATCCATCCATTTAAACCAACTGCTAAGAGATCTGCAACAACATTGTATTTAAAAATATGGAAGGATAAAATAACAATATTAGATATTTTTTCAAAGGTAAATAGCCTAAAGGAAGAAAGAAAAACATTGTGATAAAAGTAAAAACGTGATGAGATACGGATTACTTTCTTTCCTTTTGCAAAGGAAATAGTTTATTATGCACAGTGTGGAGAAAAAAAAAAACAACACAACAACTAGCTGCTCACAATAGCAATCAATAAAATTTGTGCAAAATTTCTTTAGGAAACATTCCTTATACAATTCATTTTTAAGTCTAATTCCTTCTGAAAACAGAAAAAATCAGAAACAGAATTCCAGAATGCAGGGTTTATCAGCAGCTCTACCTTGTAGCATGGAAGAACATTTACATTTGTTACTTTGATTTCTATTGCTGTGTAGAACTAAATATACATATCTTAGTTTAAGAAAATAACATTCAATTCTCAACTGATCAAGCATGAAACTACTTTTCTAGCTTGCAAATTTTCAGAACCTTACAAATAGTTTAAAAAAAATGTTCCTATGACACTCTGAAGACACATGTTCTTGTGCTTTTTTTTTGCTTTTTGACTATTTAATTTTCAGCTTCACATTTAAACCTTTCCCTCACTAGAGTGAAAACTAGAATTTTTATGTTTTTTGAAAGGAAGATTCATATGCAGAAACAATCACATAACTCTAGGATTAAGAACTCTAAGGATTGCACACTTGAAGTCAAGAGGTTGGAAAGTAATAATAGTCTGGTTTATAATGTTTATCACATAAATTAAGTATGACTTGAATAAGCTCTTGTCCTAACAGACGGAAGATTTGTACCAAGATAACACTAGAGTATAACATTTCTATTCACAACTTGAATTTTCAACTACTATTCAATGTTTTCTAGGAGAGCAGTGTTGTATGCAAGAAAAACAAGGTCACACCTATGATTCCCACAGTTCTTGTCCTTTTTGTCTTATCACTGTTTTGCTTCCTCCCTGCTTCACTAGCAGTGTTCCTTATCAGTTTCTTACTGTATGACATTTTCTCATGCAGTGGGTCTGCGTTCTTCAGCCCAAAGCTGTTCCGTCTTTTGGAACAATTAATAAATAAACTAGCCCTTGTAACAATCATCCTTTAGAATAAATCTTTAGTATTAATACACTAGTTATATAAATGAGTGCATAGTCATAATCTCAGACTGCCTGGAGACTCAGGAGACAGCACAGCATTAATATACCCCTGTATCCAGAAAGCCTGCATCTTTTGTTGAACTAAATGCTTCATCTTTTCAGTATCGATGGACAAGTTCTTCTCCCCTCTAATTCCTTCACATAAATATTACACCAGCCACACAACATGAACTTTTCCCTTGTTTTATTTCACTGTAACACATCCTTTAACAGCCTTTGTTTCTTCCAGCTCTCAATGGAACACACAACTTATTGGTGAAGTCATGATTTTCCCTGATCAAAGTATAATGTGAAGTGATTTAACAGTAACCCTAAAGTCTTTTTACTGTTAAGTTACTTAGTAAACAAAAATTATATAGAAACAGTCTTCTAAGACAGACTTTCACACCAGTAACAATTAACTCAGTTTTTGGAAGCAGCATCTGCTTTTAATCTTCAGTGATCACAGTGGGAACCTGGAACTGCATACAATGCCACTTTAGCTCATGCAGCGAGTAGATCTGTAAGACTTGATGACAGATAGAGTTTGTACTCATTTTCTGAAACTGACCAGTTTTATAAGGAGAGCAAGTTTTTCTGTACCTCAACCAGGTTTTATTACACAGAAAAAAGTTTTCTAGCACTAACAGAAAACAAACTAAAACCAAGCAGATCACCTACTTGTGAGTCCAGGAAGTTTCCTCCAAAGAAACTAAGTTTTGCAGCTTCCACCGCATCCAAGGTCTTACAGTGTGTACTGGATAACTTCACAGTAATGATTTCTTTTTCCAACATCACTTTGAAATCATTACAGATTTCAAACTGTTTGCGTTTTGGGAAAGAACAGGTAACTGAGACGATGGGGAAGGAACAAATGTGAAGCTAGAGCAGTTTTCCTGGTAACACAAGATCAGAACAAACAGCTTGTCTGTATACATGGAACAAGAATGACAAATCAGAGACTGGAAAATAGAAAAAGGTATACTGATAAATTAAAAAAGAGTAAGAAAATTAACGCAGTAATAGAGGGTAGTTAAATAAGAAAATGAACCACCAAATAACCTATAGAAATGGAACCAGAAAGAAAATCTAATCAAACTTTTTGTGAAAATCCACAAAACCAGGAAGACGAAGAAGGCCTAACAAAACCAAGAGGGATTATGTGCAATTTATGAATTAAACTAAGCCACCTGTTAATGTTACAACTCAATAAAATACTTGGATGCTATATTAATTTAATTTGGAGTAGTCTTTGGGGTCCCTGTGTCAACATGCATTTCAAGCTGACTGCCAAACAGTATTGTTAGTGTTTCTAGCCTAGAAAATATTTTAGCAAAAGGATGAAGGCATATAGGATCATAGAATTATTTATGTTGGAAAAGACCTTTAGGATATGAGAGTCTATATCTCAAAAAGGGTTGAAGCATAATTTATACACTGAAATGAAGTCTTTGAAGTATGTTGTCACTCTGAACAAGTGCAAAAACGTGCTTTGAATTCTCACTTCAAAAATGTTTATTCTCTCTTCCAGAGTATTGCAGACTGAGAAGCACCTAGTAAGCAAGAATCAAAAGCTGGAGCAATACTGTCAATGAAATCCCTGCAAGGCAGATCAGATTAGCAGAGGCCTGTTCTTCATTACATGTGGAAATACACATCCTTCTCCCTTGCCACTTCAGATGTAGCTACCATGCGACCTACAGACCAGGAAAGGGTTATCAGTCCCTGGGTTTGCCATATGGCCTGGCCCCACCCACAGCAGATGACGTGGTAAGATTTGATTTCTGCCTATATTGGAGCAGTTTTTTGGATCATCCTTATTCCTGTGATTAATGCACACCACCTTCCAAGAAATAGTAATATTTCATTTAAATGGGAAGATCCTAATAGAGCATACTGACCCCACCACACACTTTTGGTTTTGTGTGAAGCATGCACACTTCCACGCAGTGTACACATGCAAACATTATTCTGGTTCCTTTGCTTCTGCTATTTACTTGGAGAAAGAATGATCTGTCTTCTCCTTGAGTTACATGCCACTGTAATACACCATGTCTTTTAATGAATAAGAATGGCAACAAGTTAAATTACTTGTAGTTCAGTGTGATTAAGGAAGTTAATTGCAAGGATAAAGATAACGGTTAGATATTTGAATCATATGAGCATTCATTCAATTGGCTTTCACAGGAAATTTAGGGTGTGGTTTTCTGGTCATTCTAAGCTGATCTAAGGCTTCATTGAGCAAAGGCAGCCCTGTTACTCCTCACCTTTGTGTTTTCACACACTGCAGCTCCTGCTGCAGTGACTAACAACTGTGAGGCAGCATGCTACCAGAATAATTTGATTTACCATGCAGTTCACACATGGCAGTTGCTACACTTACAAGGGAGGTGCAGAAATGTGCTGTCGAGGATGGTGCTGCTCTTCTGGCAACAGACTTGAGTTTGAACAACTTCAGTCAACAGGGAAGCAGCAAGAGCAGGGAAGAGTGGCATCAACAGGATCAACAGCCAAAATACTTGTTTACCTTTTAACAGTGTCAGAAACGTTGCCTCTAACTCCAAGGTGAAACTCACGTTCACAGACCTGAAAAGATAGGCACAATTTTCACATGCTGAAATGAAAAAAGAAAAAAAACAGTCTCAAATGTATCCATCCATAAAAAAACATGCAGCACAAAATGAAACTAAAAGTACAAATTATAAACAATGGTCAAAAGCAGGAAAATCAAAGCAAGAGTGCAATCACATACAACAGTTAATGAGTGCAAAAGAAAATAATTAAGAACTGTACCTTGAAACAGCAGCTGTAGGCATAATTTTATTACATAACTAACTCTCATCCTCATGTTTTGATGCAATATTATCTTTAATGGGGATATCCTTTAAAAGAAGGTTGACACAGACAAAAAGTTGTGCTTATCACTTACCACCTCCTGAGTGCTTCAGCTAGCACAGGATTAGTTCAGTAGAAAACCTGACAAATACTCCCTCGCAAGGACCTCGCAAGGCATACTCAACTACTTATCTCCCCTGACAGGGTACCCAAAGCAGACACATTTTCTTGACTACACACCAAATCAAAACACCATAATTCGACAACTGCTAGGGAGACTATGAGATTGATTTGTATTTTGCTACTCTCATGTTTCTGACTGTGAAAGATGATTCCCATTTTTGATAATATCAGATAGTAGTAGTAAACAGGTTTGGTAAGTGAACAGTAAGCTCATAATGAGGGATAACCTCATTCACAGTAGGCCTGTATTAGATATTTTTCACAAGCACATAACTCAGAGTGGGTTAGCAACAGGTATCTATGAAGCAACTACAGGAAAAAGTAAGCTATGTAATTCTACTCTACAAAGAATATAAATCTGAAAAAGGCTTCTGAGCCAGAAACTTATGGATACTAATGTGGAAGTGGTTCATGACTTTAAGAAAAGCTTGAGCATCATTTTCCACAATTCCAAAGCCTTGTTAAACTAGATTTAATGTGGTACTGGAATGACTGAATCTAACTCACGAATATAAATTCAGCTGTTGTTTTTACTGTTGTTGCTGATTTTCCTCTCTTTCTAACCTGCAAGGAAGCCACTAACCTCAGTTACAGAAAAACATACATCTATCTGGTCTGCTTTTGATAGTAAAAAAAATACAGTTCATACCTTTACTGGTTTCATTGAATTTTATCAGTTTAAAGTGACTTGTATTTTCCTTACTGCAAATGCAATAAGCTTAAATAAAGAGCCAATTTCTTTGCCGTAAAGCAGTGAAATTCTCCCATCTTTCTACAGAATCTTTCTGATCCAAATAAAAATGGTTTCTGTGTGTCTACCTGTATGTATTCTTACCCTCACTAAATATAAGTTTTGGATCTAAATTAGCCTCAGCATTCCAAAGAAAGAAATTAATCCCTGTATTTCATTTTTGTATTAGCGCTAAGGAAATGTAATTTTCCTTCTTTTACTCTTTTTTCTTAAATACCCTCAAAAATAAGAAATCACAAGCTGCTTTCTGAAAAATTTTAACTTGTTTTACTTTAATTTTATAAGGGCAGTTTTAACTGACCCCAGTCTTAACAGCTTGAATTTTTAACTAATAGTTTGGAGACTACCCAATGAATTTCAATTCTCAGAGAGTATTTAGCATTTTCTAACAATAAAAGAATACCCACAAACTACTCCGAAACCCCAGGTCTTCCTGAAGTGTCACAGGGAGCATTTAATATCTCAGAGCATAATTAAGCTTGCAGTTATCCTAGACCACCTGTATTTTTACTGAAACATATAAGAGGCTCTACTTCAGAAAATTTCTTAAAATGCATCCCTCTTTAAATGCCCATAGTAGTCTTCTTACCCCCTGAGTAGCAATTTTATTAGGACGGACCTACTTCGTGATGTTGGATTTGTGCAGTTTAAGAACTACATATATTTTACCTGTACTATTTCTACTCGAAACAGAATGAATGTCAACATTAGAGTATCTTTATTAGTATCTTGGGGTAGTACATCAAGATACCTCCTTTTCCCTCCCTTCTCAACTGAAACAGTAAAACATTTATGAAAATTAAAAACAAATAAACAAACAAAAACCCCAAACCCTTTGGAAAAGAAATTCATCACACGAGTTGTATGAGACCACAGGAAGAACTATACACCCTCATTAGATAGCAATTCCACAATCTAAGAGAAAAGAAATAATTGTATTCTCAAACAGAATAAAAGAAAAACAAAATTGCATGTTCCTCATAAGCACATTTGACAGAATAATAAAAAAAAATTCTCACTCCAGTGAGAAATCTTAATTTTCTTTTGAAATATTCCAAAAAGCATTTTCAAAGGAAATGTGAAAAAATGCTGATAACAGCAAAATTACTCAGTACATTTTTTAAATTAAGCTCATCAAAAAGATACTTCTTAGGAGTATTTGCTTTTTGACTAATTAGCATTTATACAAGATTGTTCTTGTCAACCTGTCTCCCTACAAAAGCCTCCAGTACAACAGAGTTAAAAAATGTCAGAAATTTTTTGAATAGCCAGGAAAAAAAAAAAAAAAAGAAGTCATATTGACTTCTGCTTCAGAATTTCTAGATTTCAAGAACAGCTAAGATTTTACATGTCACTGACATACAGGATGAAGTTAAGTTAGTGTAACAGCTGCATCTACACGTGAAGTCGTCAGTGAACATTTCCCTTTTCCCATATGCATACTGTTATCATGAAAAAAAACAAAAGAAACAGTAAAGTACTCCACTGACATTAGGCTTGGTTAGTTTCCTGGGATAGCTGAATTTCCCACCACGGTCAGGCTTCCTAGGCCTTGGATTTTGAAATATCAACAGGCAAAGGAAAAAAATACCAGTAACGGCATTTTCACTTAAAAAGTAGTGAGGGGAACTGTCAGTATACATAATGAACTTGGGCTTATTACTTAGTTTCAAGATATAAAACTTTATCAAGACACATGACAGATAGTCAGCGTACATCACGCTACCCCAGAAAAGGGAGCACAATACTTCAGACTTGCTAAAAATATTTTTATCTTTTGAGGATGACATGCTGTATAAACTTCATCCCTGTAACAACTTGCTGCGTGCTTAAAGCCCTCAGCGCTGCCTACAAAAATGCGTTTAGGGTTACCTGAATAACCATTCTGATTATTGATTAACCCTGCAGGATAGATGTCAGTCAGTTCGCTTCCACATATGCACTTCCACCAGACACCAGGGGTAAGGCAGAGAAAGCAGCACTCCCACGTTTTCCCTGCCACAGACACTACCCCTGGACTTGAGGCACAAAACTTCGGTTACCACGCGAAACAGCGAATATCCGAGAACTCGCCGCGACCCTCGCCCAGCGCCAGGAGCGCTGGGCGCCAGGGGGCTTTCTGCCACCTCGGCAGGGGTAACCCTTTGGCACAGACGGGGACCCGGCCAAGGCAGCCCCCGGGCGGCGGCCGCTGGGGGACTGCAGGGTGAGGGCGGCGCCGGCCCCGCATCCCGGCGCTTCCCAGCGCTTCCCGCCGCATCCCGGCCCGCAGCCAGGCGCGGCGGGGGAGAGCCAGCCCCGAGCGTGGGGGGAAACGCGGAGCGAGCCCGCCCGCGGTGGGAGCAAAAGAAAGGAGAAGAAAGAGAAAGGAAAAGGAAGGGAGACCCGCACGTCCCGACTACCGCGAAGTTCCCCGCGGAAGCGCCTGGCCCCTCTGCCCCAGGTTGGCGACGTCTGCCGGCTTCCTCCTTCCTCCGCAAGAACCTGGCGGAGCAGCCCTCGGGAATATCCCCACCCCAAGCCCGGCCCCTCCGAAACCCGTCCTCTCTCCGACACCCACCTTTCCACTCTCCCCGGTCCCTTCGACGGGGGCGGAGGGGACCTCCCCCAGCCCCTCTCTCCGCACCCTGGGGGCTCCGAGGAAGAAGGAGCCGGGATGTGCCGGCCTCCCGCCCCGCCCCGAGCGGCACCGGGTGACGCCGCGGGGGGCTCGGGGCCGGCGCCCTCCGCCGGTCCGGCCTCCTCCGCCGGTCCGGCCCCCGGGGCGGGACGGCCCTGCCCGGCTGGGGGGGGCGGGGCGGCCACTGGGCGGGGGAGCCCAAGGGCGGGGCCGCCCCGCCCCGAGCCGGGCGCGCGCGGGGCGCAGGCGCATCGAGGGCGCGCGCCTGCCCGCCGCCCGCCGTCCCGCGGCGCCTGCGCCGTGCCGTGGTCCCGCGGCTGCGGGGTGAGAGGTTCTGTGCCCGGCTCCTCGCCCGTCAGCTCCGCGCTCGGAACCGCAGCGTCGGGCACAGGGTGTATTTAGTTTGAAGTCCAACCTGGGACCTAACACCACCTTGTCAACTAGGCCGTGGCACTAAGTGCTGTGTCCGGTCTTTCCTTTAACACTTCCAGGGACGATGACTCCACCACCTCCCTGGGCAGCTCAGTCCCATGTCTGATCACCCTTTTCTATGAAGAAATTCCTCGTAATGTCCATCCTGAACCTCCGCTGGTACGGACTGAGGCTATGTCCTCTTGTTCTGTCACTAGTTGAGGCAGATGAGTCTGAGCCACATCTGACTACAATCTCCTTTCATGTGGTTGTGGAGAGCAGTAAGGTCCCCGTTGAGTCTCCTTCCCTCCAGGTTAAACAACCCCATGTCCCTCAGCTGTTCCCCATAGGACTTGTGCTCCAGACCCTTCACCAGCTCCACTGTCCTCTGGACTTGCTCCAGCACCTCAGTGTCTTTCCTGGAGTGAGGAGCCAGAACTGGACTCAGTACTCAAGGTGCGACCTAACCAAGTACAGAGGGACAATCACTGCCCTGGTCCTGCTGGCCACACTATTTCTGGTACAAGGCAGCATGACACTGGTCTTGGTCACCAGGGCACATGTCTGGCTTATGTTCAGCCAGCTGTCAAACAGCACCCCCAGATCTTTTTCATCTAGACAGCTTTGCAGCCCCTCCTCCGTCAGCCTGTAGCACTGCAAAGTTTAGGGGGCAGCTGTGGCTCAGGGGGGCCCCAGTTCCCGCTGTCCCTCGGGGCCCCAGTGACCTCCTGTCCTGTGGGTCCCATTCCCGCAGGGTGCCTGGGGCAGCTACAACAGAGGGTGAAAGCTGGCTGCTTGCAAGGGACCACCAGAGGGAATTCAAGTGAGCCAGCCCCTAACAGTGTTGGTCAGGCTTCCCTTCCACGTGGCACAGCCCCAGCTCTCTCTGTTGCACTGTTCAGAGACAGTCAGCTCCTGCCCATGTTAGAGCTGTCTCTCTGGATTGTAAACTTGCTGAGCAATATATTAAGGAAACTTCCCTGTCCAGCTATCCAGGAGCCACTCTGACAGTCAGTCTCGCGCTGCCTGAGCTGGGACTGAGGTCCCTTCACAGCTACACCCCCCACACTCACACTGTCAGACCAGGTTTCCTTAACAGCTTGGTCTCGGGTTTCCCATAGCAGTCACAGATGTCCAGATCCTTAAAATAATTTTATCTTGGTGCGATAACAAAAGAGCAGCCTGAGCTGGGTGCCCCCAAGACACATAGATGGGATAGTGGGCAGATGCCTGGAGAGCTGTGTGTGAGGACTGGGAAGTAGGGTGGGAAGCTGGTGAGTGATGCACGGCCAAGTCTAGTGACATACAGGTGGCTGCATGCAGGGTCAAATGAGCTGCTTTTGTGTCCTGCTCCCTAGAGGTGGGCTACTAAGAGCAAGGGGTACTGAGGAGACACGAGGCGACTACCAGATGAGTCATCTGCCTGTCATGAGACTGCAAGGAATTGTTTTCCTCTGGTTATATCCTGTGTAGGGTGGACTTTAAGGACTTCCCTGAGCTAATGCCTTTTCTGGGCTATATTTTTAAAGAAATGTGTAGCCTCAATCAAATGGATCACAATAATATGACAATTCTTGACACTGTGATTGTTCTGTGAATCTGATAGACTTCAGTCCTAAGAATATACAAGTATTTAGACAGTTGCTTTTTTTTACCCCATAAACTAACCTACCTGAGCAAGACAAATCACCATGATCAAAGAAGTACTTGGGGGAATAATTGTTAAATAAAATGAAATTTAGTCATAACAGCAGGCTCAAAACCTATTATATTTGAATCAGTTATTATGGGGAAAGAAGGGGAGAATATATATGTATCTATTACAGATATTCTGATATGAAAACATACACACACATATATGAGAATACACTAATATATTCAATGTTTCTGATGTATCGGAATACATTTTAGGTATGTTAGTAATTATATTTTTATATATATGAATATAAAAATTAAGGATTTTTGAATCCTTGGAAAGAACTTTTCTTTAGAGGTCAGATTGTGAAAAATGACATGCAGTTTCATCCCTTGGTGCACATGTTTCTTGTTACAAGTTAAATATACAATGTAATTTAAAAATACTAGAAGAGTTCTCCTGTAATTGTTCTTCATACTATAAAAATAGAAATGTGTGTTTCACCCATAATCTAGACTGCACTGCCATTGAAGAATGCTTTTAAATTAACTTCCAACTGCAATTCACAAAGCCAATAGAAAGTTTGATAGATTGTTATAATAGAAAAAGAATATAAATCCTTTGTGATAGGGCCTGTGAGCTGATTGTTAACACATGCAGGGAACAACAGAAAGGAAGAAAACTTTGATCATTCCCTTCCTGGGAGGGAAGGAGTAAATGGGGGAGACACAGAGACAGATAAAGATAATGTGAGAGAAACACTTCCAGGAAGAAAACTTGGGCTCTGGGAGTTATATTCCTACTTTGCCTGTGACACTTTTAGTGAGTTTTTTTGTTTGTTTGGGGTTTGGGGGAGTTTATTTGTTTGTTGGTTGGTCTTTATTTGTTTGTTTTTAATGGGTCCACTTATTTCATTACTTCTTTTCCACTTCCTTCCCTTTTTAGTTATGTCTGGTACTTTTTCTCATTTTCCCATTACTATGAATTGTGTTCATCCTGATTCATGTCAAATCATGGTTTTTGCAGCTTTAGGGAAGTCCATGGAGTTGTGCTGGCTATAAACTAGGTGTGCAGGATGGTGTTGAATAGATGTGTTGTGTTTCAGCTGCCTCTTTTGTAAGGACATATAAACTGAATGATGGTCTTGTTTACTTTAAAGAGGTATATAGTTTAATTTAATTAAATAGAACTTTGAGAAAGAACAGAAGTCTGTATGCAGATCCAATTATAGCATCAGGGCCTGGGTGCACAATATATGGTCTACTCAGCGTACAAATATGATTAGACAGACACAGTCAATCTGATCTGCTTTAAACAAGCTACGTTTATCTGGTTTTAGCAGCGTAGCATTTTACTGAAAATTACTTGTCTTTAAGGTTATCATATCAAGTTTAAAGAAAGTAACACCCCCTGTATTTTTCTCATCCATATCGTACTGATATTCCTGCTGTCTGTATTGCAAGCACTTGCTTACATTATGAAAACAAAACAAAAAAATGAACCTGTTTTTCTATTTTGCAACTGTGATTGTAATTTCAATACCATGTGTTTTTAAGTTGGAGGTTTTTGACATTAATTAGTAGTTGGCAGCTCCTGTTTACTCAGAGTAATTTGATGCATTGTTGTTTTTCAGGTAATTCTGCTATTAAAACTTCCCACTTCTTTATAAAATGTTATGTTTATGTAGTTAGATATGCCACGTTTCTGAGAATATCATAGAGCACAATTTCTAGTAAGAACTCCTTTGTTTAGTTTCCTGGAAAAAAAGTAAGAGATTTCTTAGCAGGGTAGTTGTTGATTAGGTCATTCAACTTTGCTCAAACTTGACAACACAAGGCTTTCACTAGCAACTATATCTCAAGAAATAACAGTCCTGAGTAAACCTGACAATTCACTGCAATTTGACCAGCTCCTCAGCTGTTTTGGTACAACTAAGGTCATTGCACAAACTTAATAAGGTAGCTTCCTCCACCTTTTTGTTGGGGTCAATCCAGTAGTGTAGCAGAGACATCTGGAGACAGCAGCCATGGACTTCCATGGACTTCTCTGATTTAATGTGTACTGCACCAGCTGGCAGCTCATGGTAGGGTATGGCTTCTCCACCAGATTGCCCACTCCACAGAGAGTCAGCAATACAAGATACATCTTTGAGCCCACTGATCTCTCTGAGCAAACTAGTTCCACTGAATGAACCCCTCAAAGTGACAAATTAGATATTGTGATTTACCATTCCGTGTCTTGGACTAAGGCACCTGATGCATTGCAGAAACTGGCTGCAGAATCTTAGCAGAGTTTTGTCAGCAGGAAAGAAAAGGGAGAAACTGGTTTGCTAAGCTACCAGAAGCTGTATTTATTAAAAACCTAAGATTAATTCAGACTGAAATTACTGTGTGGCCGTGGTTCAATAGCAGCTTTTTTTTTTTTTTTGGGGGGAGGGGTCGTTTGTTGGTTTTTTTTCCTCAGAGATAGACTTGAGACATTTCTGTTTAGCTGGTAAGTACAAAAATGTGTTAAAATACATGTGCTATTGCTGTAGTCATACATTAAGTTACCGTTAAAGAATTTATTTATACTGCTTCACTATAAAGTCTGAAATACCCTCACATGGGGAAGAGGTTTTTGTACTTAGAACTTGGCTATCATTTGATGTTATGGTTCTTCTCCTGATTTCAATGCACAGTCATTTTAAGGCCACAGTAAGCCTTAATGGTATTTATTGGCTAATGGCAACAAATTAATATTTCTCTGTCTCATGGAATGTACTAACTAAATTACCCATGCTGGAAGAAACATCGCTAAGCT